AAACCGGAATGATAAATCAAAGAAGGTGGTCATTTGAAATTTCCTGCTGATTTATGCTTAAAATATATCTGTCTCGCATCTATTAGAGATTTACTGGTCTTTTGCATTTCAGAGCAAAGATAAGGAGAAACGAAAAAGTCATAGCCATAGGCGGCATAAACAAAAACCTAAAGAGGTACGGATATATTGTCTTTCTAGCCTTATCAGTTTTTGTTTGCTCGCTGCATCTTTAATTTATGGTCGAGATTTTTGTTGAAACATAATTTTATTTGAACTTTAAAGCCATGAATTGTTCTTAAAGCTATTTTAGTAAATTTTTCACGTCGATGCATATTTTTGGTTTAAGAATGAGGTTCTTATAGTACTTTCGACTTTTTTTATGAATGGCTCTTCGAAATTGGAGCTGGTGCCTGTAAAATGATGTCATGGTTGCCTGGATGTTTCGGTCTTGGTTTTGTCCTGCCAATGTGAGACATATACAGAAGCAGCAGGAAGAGAGTAGTGGTCCTGTGCAGCTTTCTAAGGTAAATTTCGTTCCGACTAAAATATGAAAATTATTGTAACCGATAATTTAGTGGGCTTTATGGAGCTATGTTTTTTTGCTAATTTATAATATATCTGATCCAGTTCTTGGGACGGGACAAAGATGATGTTGCTCGTCGAAGTGCTGTCTCTGGAAAAAAGGTCCGTATTACCCCTCATTTGCATATAATGGCCTATATATATGTATTAAACTGTAATATGTGTTAGTTTACTTTCAACTAGATTTAACAGACACCGATTTAACTTAATCTCATGGTGTTTTTCCCAATAGAACCCTGCACCCCATCAAGTTATAATCTTTAAAAGTTACAACTAAGAGAAATAATGATCTGAATATAGGTCCAGACCTACGCATATGGTATTATAAAACCGAATGTTGGTTTTGAAGACTCGGCTTTCTTTCCCTATGGTTGGAATTTCTATTCAATTATTTATTTATCTTTTTGTATTCTTAAATTTTTCTCATTACTTTCTTGGATGAAGAAGCGCTGGGTCATACTGTAAAATTAAAAAGATGGAAAATTGTAATTGTAATTTAGTTGATGGAGGGTGATATAACTTTTGTTCTGGCAGAGGGTAAAATAGTCATATCAAAACAAGGGTTGATTGGGTTTTCTAGTGGTTGAAGTTTGAGGGTTTCTTTTCAGTATTTTATAAAGTGTAATCCTACAAAAAGAATAAAGTAGAAGCCTGTCTGAATTACTTTGGTTAACACATAATGGAATAATAGTTAGTATTTAGGGGCTGACTATAAATAGTGAAAAAAGACAATTCACTAGTCTCCATGTTCTGAATGAAGCAACTACTATCACAGTACATTTTATTGCTATTATACATGGGCGCAAGTATGATATGGTGTGTTTTTTCTCTCTCTCTCTCTCTCTCTCTCTCTCTCTCTCTCTAGATATTGTTGAAGGTTGACAAAACAAAGGAGGACAAGTTGGCGGAGAACAATCGAAATGAACTGTTGAAGTTTTTGAATTCTAGTTATGATTAAGGTTATCGGGACAGCAATGCCAATTCATCACAATCGGTGATGTAATATTCAAGGTTATTTTCCTGGAATTGTCCATTAATTCTGTCTCATGAGAACTATACTTTGTTGGGTTTCGGTAAATTTTCAGGTTTGATATATGCAAGTTTAGGGTGGTGTATTTCTGTGATATGATATCCTGGTTGAGGAAATTCCCCTGTGGAATCTTGGTTTGTCCAGATATTCAAATAGGAACATAGTTTTTTGGAATATATGTGGTTCAATTGATTATTATGCGTTAGTTTTGTTCAATAGTCCGTTTAGTACATGAGCTCCGACTGTTTGACGATCCATGGGTCTCTTTCCTTTGCCTTTACGGGCTTTTTTGGATCCAAATGGGTCTCTTTCCAGGTTGATCTTGGTTGCTCATACCGTAAAACATAAGTTGGTGCAGAATAACCTGGTGGGGAATTCATTGGTTGACATGGTGGAAATGTGGAATGTGTAGGAAATGGCTCTGTTTCATTTTCGTTTTCCATATCTTTTTGCGCATTTAATATCATCCATTCCTTACCAATTTCCAAGAGCGTTGCAAGTTGAAAGATTTCCCAGTATTGTTTCGATAAATAGACAATGGCAATGTATACTACAACTAGAAATTAAAAAATAATACATTTATGCAAATATTTAAATAATACAAAATAATTATTCTAACATTTACCTCATCGACCATGTTTCTCCCGCTACCGCAAACTTTTGATCCTTCTTTAGTTGTCTAATGCTAGTGGTTTCATAAAGATGTTTGGTTAGAGACCTATGCGCAAAAAACCCCTATATATATTAATTACTTTTATAAATATATCATTGGGGTATTTTAGGTTAGCCTAGCGTTTCTTTCTTTTATATATAAACTAGCATTTTCCCCCGTGCAATGCATGGGATATTATTTCAAAAGTGAAAAGGAATAATCAATTTAATATATAATAAAATATAGTACACTAATATGAGATTGATAATTGTTGAAATTATGGTTAGAAAATTAGTAGAGAAAAAAATATTAAAAATAAATAATATGAGATGTACCATTATTGTAGGATTCTTCACGATTTAGTTTTTAATTTTGATAATTATTAAAAATTATAGTTAGAAATTAATATAGAAAAGATATTAAAAATAAATAATTACCTAAATACCATTAGGATTTTTAGGGTTGGCAAACGTTTTTTTCTTTTATATATAAGATATATAAATATTATATACCCTCGTATAGCTAGTTGGTCGGATTCTTTTGCCATCCATATTCAACAAATGTATCAAGTATATATCATTTAAAAAAAAATTAATTACCTAAATGTGTATATATATATATATATATATATATATATATATATATATATATATATATATATATATATATATATAGTTAAAATGTGCTTAAATTGGACGAAAAATGAAATAGAACCCAAATTAAGCAAATTTAACATAATATGAAATATAAATAATGGGCCAGGCCCAAGAGTAAATAATGGCGAAGGATGAGGGAAAAACCCAAGGGTAAAATAGTAAATAAAGTATTTTATGGTCACTAGGGTACTGCTGGTCTCGCTCTATAAAATGCACAATTGTTATGGATTCTGAATTAGGGTTTTCTCGCTGTTTTGCCATGGCAGCCAACTGGTTGGTTTCAATGAGTAACGATTTTATTTGATGTTGTTTTTGTTTATGGATTTATTTAATTTGATGAATGGAGAAAGGCACATAGTTCTTCTCAGGAATCCTATATTAGAATGATTCCCGGGATTTTATTTGTGCACAAATCAATATGTGTTTCATCCTCTCTGCTTAAGCCTTCACCTAATTCTCTAATTTATGGAGTTGCGCTTCAATGTTATTGGATGACATTTTTTCCTCTTTTTATTTCATTCATTCTTCTTTTTTTTTTTTTTGCCCTTTACATCCTGCTTATGTTTTCATCAAAATTCTGTGTGGGTGGGTATTTATTTTTTGTTTCTTTCAAACAAAGAACTAACGTTTTCCTCTGTTCCGTGAATGTTTGCACTCTGGTAGTGGAGTTATTTGAGTTGTACATATACATTTTAAATCATTTCTCTGTTATTTGAATATTTTCTATTGTTTGACTTATTTTGTTTTTTGATGGAAATCTATATAACTTAGTTGATTGTTACATATTTAAATTGGAGTCATTTTTTGATTTGTTTTGAAGAGGATTTATAAGGATTATTTTATTGGGAGTAAGTTATAGGATGTTGTAAAGTAAAAATAAATACGCAATGAGAGTTGTGTAATACCTAAAAGAATTTAGAAAGTGGCACGGGACAATAATGATTGGAATACAACATTAAGGTGGAATTGATCTCATCAATGTTGTTAAAACTGGTCTAACCGGGAACCGGTGCTGGGTCCGGTCCAGTTCATCGTCCAAAACCGTGAAAATGAATATTGGAGTCAGTTGTCAAGAATCAAAAAACCTGCCCGGTTCGACCAGAAATTTTGAAAACCGCAAAACCCCAGTTCTACGATTTAAAAAAAACGCAGGCTGATGTCGAAAGGCCGGAGCTTAGGGCCGGCTGAGGGTTTGTCACTGTTATTGGGGTTGGTGGGTGTGTATGGTGTGGTTAATTTTTTTATGGTAGAATAAAATAATTGAATTACAATTTTAAATTTGGTGTTTAACAAGAGTAAATTATTATCTTTTTTTTTTTTTTTTTGAAAAAGTAAATTATCTTTTCATGATTGTAATTTATTAAATAATTAACTTAAAATTATATATAAATAATTAAAATATGAAAAGTTAAAGGGTAAATTACAAACAGCCCCCTGAGGTATGGTCAAATTACAAAACCCCCTCTTGTTTGGATAATATCATCTATCCATCAACTATGATTTTTTCTTACACCTCTACTCTTATGTTGCCAAATTCAAGTTAATCATTTAGATTCCGTGGAATGTGCTCTAGTTTATACGCGTTTTGTGGAAAAATAAAGTTTCATAAAAAAATACATATTATGATCATCTTGCTTCATAATGAAGAGTTCGAATGGGATAAAACGGATACAAAAGTGATAATATTCTATATAATCTCGAAGATTCTACTAAATTTGAGGAGTTGAGGGGTGGTTGTAATTATCCAAACAAGAGGAGTTTTGTAATATAACCATACCTCAGAGGGGTGTTTGTAATTTACCCAAAGTTAAAAAACTTGAGTTGAGCCGGTTGAACCCATCTAAATGTGACCCAATTGGTTGGCCAGTTTGATGTCCGATTTGGTTTTAACTTATAACAGCACTAATATTTCGCCTAGAGTTTTTTCATGTTTGTTGATGCATTATTTATAAGTTGTACTTTTACGCTGATAGGGTAGTGACGTATACATGTTATCTGTTTTGGGTTGTATTGTTTGACGTTGTAAATGACAAACTTGCCAGTAATTTAAATTTCTAATGCGTTACTTCTCTGCTACCGTATTTATTGTTAAGTCAGTTATTTGGCGTAAGATTCACATTGTATAGTAGATTGATTCGTATTGTATAGTAGATTGCATTCCATGAAATAGGTGTACTATATATTTTAAATGATTTCACTTAATTTCCATATCACGTTTTATTTTTCGCATTTGTTTTCTTTGTAATATTTAAGTTTGCAATGTATATGTTACAATTCTGAAATAAAAGATAAAGCTTATCTTTTTTCTTTTTTACTTCCTTTCATTTTGTTTTATTAAACTATATTTGTTACAAAGAGATAATTGTTTACATATTATTATTTTTCACGTTTTTAAACTTACCCCGTGCATTTTTCTCAAAAAAAAAGAGAAAAAACTTACCCCGTGCATCGAAGGTGAAGTACTAGTGTTATTAAAAGAAATATAAATTTTATTATATTAATTGACCTATTACTAATCGGATGAATATAACACATAATAATGCATTAATAAGAGCAACTCCAATGGAGTTATTAAATGGGTTATTAAAATATACACTCAACACCTACCTTTTGGAGAAAGTCTTAATAAATGGGTTGATCCGATTCTTATTTCAAGGATCTTCCGTATTCGACGGCGGTGCTCCCAACGGCCTCGTGCTTAGCTGGGTTGCAAATTGACCCATCTGTGCTTCCAAATTTCGGATGAAAGCTTGAGTTGATGTCATGAATTGTGCTAAGATGTTTGCGAGATCTCCACCTTGAGGTGGGGCTTGAGGAGGATTTTGGAAACCGGGAGCTAGCCGTGAATAACTAGGCGGTTGACCTTGAGGTGGTGCTTGTCTTTGTCTTTACTGATTTCCTCCCCATGCAAAGTTGGGGTGATCTTTCCATCCCGGATTATATGTGTTGGAGTACGGGTTCCTCTGTTGTCGGTTAGTGTCATTCACGTAATTTAGAGACTCCGTTTCTTCTAAGCACTGGTTGGGACCTTGGACTGTATGGACTTGCTGAGTCTGCAAAGTTGCTACTTGCTTTGATAGCTTTTCTAATTGGGCAGTGATTGTTGTGACCCCGTCTAACTCTAAAATTCCTCCCGTCTTATTGGCTCCGCTATTTGACCGGTCTGATGGCCGCATGTATTTATTTCTAGCTATTCGCTCCAAAAATTCGTATGCTTCGTCATAGGTCAAACTCATGAACATTCCTCCAGCTGCAGAGTCGAGCACATTCCTCGAGTTATCTTGCAATTCATCGTAGAATATTTGCAGCTGGCGCCACTCTTGAAGTCCGTAATTCGGGCATCTCCGAATTAGTTGTTTGAACCGCTCCCACGTCTCACATCAGACTATTCCATATTACTCTATTTTATTTTAGTATAATAAATAATTTTAAGTGAGAAAGACATATGCGTAATTGCTCAAATTATTATTTTAATTATTTTTCTAGAAAACCCAAAATCACTTTTTCATTCAATGGTTCAGATCTAATCTATTTAAAATGAATGGTCATTTAGAGGATATTTCACCTCAGGTAAATTTTAAGCGAACGGAGGCTAAAAAAATCTAATTAACTAACGTTGAAGTTAACAAATCCTCAATTTGTTTCTTTGAAATAAAAATTAAAGAATGAATTGATTCATAGTAAAACTTTCCCATGGACCGAGCTCTACCCCCATTTTATCAAACATTTATGTCCCATCACTAAAGATGTTATGAAGACGATCCTCCTAACTCTATCTCATAGATGAGGTCAACAATTGAATCTAACTTATCCGATCCCCACATGCATATTCATTTTTTGTATTAAAGAAAAAAAAAACATATCTAGTAGCCCCGGTGCTGTGCGAATGACACAATT